GCGACGGCCACCGCGTGCCCCGGCAGCCACCCAGACGCCCGCGGCACGACACATCCTGGCGCGTCCCAGCGTGTCCTGCCACGTCCCGACGTGGCCCGGTGCGCCCTGGCGTGTCACAGCGTGTCCAAGCCTGTCACGGTGTGTCCCAGGACATCCTGGTGTGTCCCAGTGTGTCCCCACGTGTCCCGGCACATCCCAGTGTGTCCTGACGTGTGACAGCACGTCCTGGCCTGTCCCAGCACGTCTCCAGTGTGTCCCAGTACGTCCTGGCACGTCTCCAGTGTGTCCCAGTATGTCCTGGTGCATCCTGGCGGAACCTGGCATGTGTCCTCATGGATCCCAGCGTGTCCCAGTGTCTCCTGGCGCATCTTGGCGCATCTGCGTGTGTCCCCATGTGTCCCCCCCGATGTCCCTATCCCCCTTACAATGCTGGGGCAGGGGGACGCTCGTGTCCCTTCCATGTCCCCCCTCCGGGTGGCCCGTGCCTCAGTTTGCCCCGGGGCCAGCAGCTCCTCGGCTTCCGAGCTTGGCTGCTGCTGTCCCCGTCCCCAACCCCGTTGTGGGGTCCCCGAGTAGGGACAGGGATGGGGACAGGACCTGGCGGTGGGGCACTGGCAAGGGACGTCACCGGGACGTGACACGAGGACGTGACACGCTGGGATGTGATCTGGGGATGCGGCACGCTGGGATGTGACATGGGGATGCGACACAGGACATGGCACAGTGGGATGTGGCGTGCAGATGTGGCACGGGGACACGGCATGCGGCACGGGAACATGGTACACGGATGCGGCGCAGGGATGTGACACAGGGGCACGGCTTGGGGAAGTGACAGGGATGTGACATGGGGATGTGGGCACGGAGATGGCACGGGGATGTGGCACACGGATGTGACGGGACGGAGGACGATAACATGGGGACACTGCGGGGGCGTGGCATGGAGAGACGGCACAGAGGGACGACGAGATGGCACAGGGACGTGGCACGGAGGTGTGATGTTGGCACGTGGCATGGAGGTGGCACGGTGACACGGCACAGAGATGTGACATGGGCATGTGGCACGGGAGATGGCACGGTGACATGGCACGGGAATGTGGCACAAGGACACGGCGCAGAGACGTGGGACGGGACAACATGGAGATCCAGTGTGGGGACGTGACACGGAGGGACAACGTGGGGACACAGCAGAGAGGTGACATGGAGGGATGGCACGGAGATGGCACCGGGATGTGACACGGGGACGCGGCACAGAGATGGCACCAGGATGTGACACGGGGACACGGCGCTGAAGGAAGACATGGAGAGGTGGCCTGGGGACATGGCGTGGGGACATGGCACGAGGGATGACACGGAGCGGTGGCACAGATGGCTCGGGGACGTGGCGCAGAGGGACGCTGTGGGGACATGCCGTGGGGACACGGCCCAGGGACACGGCACGGATGTGGCACGGAGGGACGCCACGGGCCCGCGGCCCAGGGACACGTCACGGGGACGTGACACAGAGGGACGACGTGGGGACGCGGCACGGGGACGCCATCCACGGAAGCCACCGGGGTGATGGTGGCCCTTGCGTGACGGTGACACGGGGCCGGCACGAGGCCACACAGCGACAATCAGGGCTGGGGACAGGGCGCGGGGGCCGCTGCAGGGACACCTCGTGCGTGGTCCCTGCCTGTGTCCCCCTGTCCCCCCGTGTCCCCCAGGGTGGCAGCAGGTGCAGTTTTAGTGCATTGTGGGCGCGGACGGCGGCTCCCCCTCGTTATCGTCATTATTATTATTATTA